ATTCCAATACTTTACCTTACACACTAGGTGTGTGCGGAAAAGTAAAAGGGATTGCGCCCAACGAGGGAGCGACCCTTGGATTAAAAGTCCAATGCTCTACCAACTGAGCTAACTGGGTGATATGTAGATTTGTAGAACGTTGCCAATTATCGTTGGTCTGCCGCGAGGGTTTACTCGCACACCTACAGTGAAGACACTAGGGTGCGTCATTTTTGGTACATTTTGCAGAATTCCGTCGGTCGTTCTTGGGAAAAAAGTATCATGTCATTACCACCTCATACAGGCATGGCTCCCATGAAAAAAATCATTTCTTGTGATTTTTCCAAAGAAACTGTATCAAAAATTGATTGTATCTCAAAACTAACTTCAGATTCGGTTTTTCTCATGCCCAAAACCGCCACACACTTCAGATTTTGATTTACGTCTCTGTGGAAAGAGTTATCGAGTTAACAAATGCTTGCACATTGGTAGGTACACCATGAATAGACTGATGAACGAATATCGTTCAGAAAAAATACCAGCCTATTCCTTTGCAACCACCAACCACCGTGAAAAGATTTGGATTAACTTTTCTTGACTTTTCTCTAAGAAGAGTTATCCTGCTAACAAAAAGATCAACATTTTTGCGTACAGTAAACTACATCCCCACATTAACATGACTACAAAACCATTGCTCTGAGATTCTCCAGATTCTCCAGATTCTAGACCCAAATCACGTAATTTTTAGCGATTTCGTGGTGATTACAATACATTGGCGATTTCGTGGTGATAACACATCGAGTGTGCGAAAAAGTTATAGAAACAAAGAAGCGAAAAAAATCTCTTTGATTGATAATCATTTGGTTTTTGCAATGAATCGAATGAAATGTCAATATGTTGGCGGTGCAATTGAGCTCAAATCATTTTGTTGGCAACGTGTAATTTTAAAACATTTATCTGGGAATGAAATCGAACGATTTTCAATCTGTCAGATGGTAGAAAATGTTGATGGAACAAACAATGATAATTTCGACACGTGTCTGAATTGTTACTGCATAAAATCGATCTAAAATAAGCCGTGTTCGAATTTGAAGGACTGCTTCAACGGTAATAAAAATTCAAATGAGAACTATGAAAACTCATCCACAATAAATATTTTATAATGAAATCGCCGATCGATCGCCACACAATTTACTTGAAAAGTAACATGTTTTCAATGTTAATTGTTCAGTTGAAACCCATCCGCCATTCGTTGCAGTAATTCTGATCTTAAAATGGTGTGTAATGGAAAACTCAACAATATGGGAATTAGTTCGGTCCATATCAACCATTCGATACAATTGGAGTCTGAAGACTCCGTACAAAAAATGTTGCTACTTTTATGGTGTTGCCAGATCAATTTTTTTGCAAATACCTACTTTCGAAGATGATCAAACATTGTGTTGGTGGACGTATTTTGCGGTTGTTTATATTGGTTCATATTTGTCGCTAGCAATCTATACCATTTATAATATATTTCATACGTTCGGAGTTTGAGAAAGGGCCTTGTTCTTCCTTGCTTGGAATAATATTTGCAGTCAGGTTCGAATGACGATAATTTCTATATTAAATGTACATATTTAAAAAAGTTGATATTATTTTAGTTATTATCGATTCCATGGTTAGCAATTTCAAAAGGACGATATATGGATTGTCAGTGTAATTGAGTTTATAATATTTTGTTGGCATGTGCTTTCAAGGTTTTATTTTAATAACCTTGCGACTGATCAAGGTTTTATTGCAACAATTGTATTGTCTTGAAATGATTTTCTGCAATACGTGTAATCTAAAAATATTTATCTGGGAATAAAATCGAACGATTTTTAATCTGTCAGATGGTAGAAAATGTTGATGGAACAAACAATCATAACCTCGATACGTGTCTCAATTGCTGTTGCATAAAATCACATAATCCTTAACCCGTGTTCGAATTTCAAGGACCGCTTCAGGAACAATTAAAACTCAAATGTTCAATACTATGAGAACTAACCTTTGATAAATATTATTTTCCACACACTTAGTCTAGGAAAGGTATTGTATTAGGCCAAAAAATTAAAGTCACAACAAAACGTGTTTTCAATGCAAATTTCCTGTGAAAAACACGTTTTGAGGCGATTTTGGTGCATATTAATATTACTCACTGTGCAAATTTGTCATATGATGCATGATAGCTTATCTCACAGAAAAGATATTCAAAATCTGATTTTACCGGATGATTGCAATCCCCATGGAGACTGCGGAGAGACGAGCTGATTAGTTTCTGAGCAATATCTGTTGATATGTAATTTTTGGGTAATAACAATAAGTTCGTATTTTTTAGTCATTACCGTTCCTATGTTTATCAATTTCAAAACGACGATATATGGATTGACAGTGTAATTGAGTTTATTATATTTGGTTGGCAACACATAGCACATGTGCTATGAAGGTTTTATTGCAATAATTACCTTGAAATGATTTTCGACATTAATTCGTGTAATTTAAGAACATTCATCTGGGAATAAAATCGAAGGATTTTCAATTTTCCAGACGGTAGAAAATACTGATGGAACAAACAATGATAACATCAATACGTGTCTAAATTTTTGCTGTATAAAATCAATTTTAAATATTCAACCCGTGCTCGGATTTGAAGGACTGCTTCTACAATAGACTAGCCTAAAAATAAACAAAAATATATGGTATCGAAATGTCCAATGTATTTCACCAAACCGGCATCTATTCTAAAACAATTAAAACTCAAATGTTCAGTGTTATTGGAACTCACCTGTAATACATATTTTATAATTAAATCGATCGATCGCTACAAAAAATCCTTATAAAAGACCATACTTTCACTGTGCATTCCGACCGTCATTCGTTGTTAAATTCCGACCGCCATTCGTTGCAGTAAATCAGATCTGAAAATGGTGTTTAATAAAAAATTCAATATCCCAACAACATGGGAATTGATTCGGTCCATACCAACAATTCGACACGACTGGAGTACGAAGACTCCGTACAAAAAATTTTGCTACTTTTATGGTGTTGGTAGAGCGATTGGAAATTATTTAAAATATCCTGTCTTTAAAGATGATCAAACATTGTGTTGGTGGTCATACTGTGCATGTGTTTACATCGGTGCATATATATCGCTTGTAATGTACACCATCTATTATTATTGCATCCGATGTTTGCTGTTAGTTTTAAATGAATTTAATTTTATAATTTACATAAGTAAAAATGTTGAATTTCCTTCAGTAAGTTCCGTTTTTATGCAACGTACTCTCAAACCGTCGGAATGTTTCACATCGTGGTCTTGATTTTAGTGGACGGTACATTTACCCAGACAAATATAAAGATAAAAAATACAACGAAATCTGTTCAAACCATTTGGATAATATGGTGAAAAATGTGATAATTCGCCTTGGAATTATGACACTCTGTTTTTGTGCCGCTGCAGTTGGGCCAATTTATAAATACATTACGGATGGTACTAAAACAACACTAACACAAGTGCGAATTCCATTCACTGAAGAAAATTCGAATGATGAATTCATAGGCAATACTCTTCTTCAAAGCATTATTTGTTTTCATGGATTTCCTGCCTACATTGAAATGGAAGTTGCATTGGAGATTTACATTGGATTCATGACCGTATCACCATTATTGATAGAACATGAATTTCGGAAGCTTGGAGATAACATTGAGAAACAGAAATACAACAAGGCACAAGTGTATCGGACATTTAATCATATCATCAAATTATCTATGGACACCGATGAGTGTGTTCAAATAACTACTATTCATCAGCTAGAAAACAACTAACAGAAATAAATTGTCTAACTTAATATTTTTAGCTACATGTCAACTTGTGCAGATCTTATGTATTGGCGAGCTTTTTCTACCCCGCCATCATTCACTTATGGAATTGGAATGTCAATATTTTGTCAATACATGGTAAATATCGACTTTTATCGTTTTTTCTTGTCATGAATAAATCGTATTCCGTTCTTTTCAGTTCAATTATGTTGGCGGATATGGATTGGCCCTTCTTTCTTATGTACAACTCTATTTTATTTGTATTTATGGTGAAATTTTTGAAGTATTTTTCATCAATATATAACTTCTGGCTACTCCCTCTAGTTCAGATTCCGCACCTCAGAGCTTATGGTTTTGATAACATCATTCGAAAATAGCAATTCAAATAATGTCTTTTTGTCTTTCCCAGGATAATGGTACCGGAGACATTTTTTATGACGTTGAGTGGTATGCGTTACCCGTTGAACTTCAAAGAGACTTAATGCTTGTGATTCATAAAAAACAGCACGGAATTGGTCTTTCAATTGGACCATTTGCAACAATTAATATGGAGTGCTTAGCAGTTGTATGTAAATTTTAAATTCTATTCCATACACTTGAATTCAATTAATTAAATCTTTTGTGTTTAGATTACAAACAAAATCTATTCTATGGTAATGTTTCTAATCAACTTTTGTCAATAAAAAGTGTCACCGAAATACGCTAGGGGATCGGATCTCGATCAGAAAATAGCGAATTATTCGATATTTTGCGAATTTTATGCGAAATGATTTGTAAGCGATGGGCCAGTAAAGTTGTGATTTAAAAAACAATTCGCAAACAAAACGCTATGAACGTGAGACAATTCGCAAAATTTGTATGTTTTGTATGTATCAAATTGTGAACGCTTGTAAACGAGCCAAGTGAATAGCGGCGACGCACGAAAACGAAATGAGTGAATAGCGACAACGAACGAAAGAAAAAATGTTATCCGTTGCCACTATTCACTCACTTCGTTTTCTTGCGTCGCTGCTATTCACTTGGTTCGTTTGCAAGCGTATATTATATAGTTTGATTGTGATAACTTTTTGCGATTAGCTTGCGAATTGTATGCGAATTTCTTGAATTATTTTACCAAAATGACGACTTTATCATACAACTAATAAATTTTGTCCATTCGCGAATAGATCATTTCTCCTAGGAAATACGTGGATCCAATAAGTATAGAAGAAAGTTAAACAGCAACACTTGATTTCTGCTGTGACACAAAAGAAGTGTGAGCAGACACATTAAAACTAGTAGTTATTAGTTTTCATGTGTCTTATTATCAGTATGGTTTATTCATGGTTTATTCATTTTTTACTGAGCATTTAAATATAAGTCTATAGAAATTACCATAGAAACTATATTTGAAGTCTGTATTCAATGTGTATACACACCGAATAATAATTATTAAATAAATGCACTGTTGTTCAAAATAAAACTTCTACTGATAATTATTTTGAAAATATTCAGGTCAATTCTGTTTGTTATTCGTTTCATTTTCCACGTGAAAAACGGCAATTCATTGTTTTGAACAGTAGAGAGTATTACAAGGGAAATCGAAATTCGGCACGCTTTTGTTTATTCTCTATCAATGTCGAATAACAGACAATTGCAAGAACACACTTGACTAGCCCAAAAAAGAGTACTAGATATCGGTGGTATATCTACAAATTTCGAAAAATATTGAAACGACATTTTTTATGTTCTTAAAATTCTATCGGAATTATGTCGGTTAAAAAAATTTGTTCGCTCACTCTCTTGAATTTGTGACTGCCATAAGAGAAGGAACTTACGATTTGCTCTCTCTTTTTTGAAATTGACTTAACAGAGCATTTGTCAAGATTTAAATGAAGTTTGTTTGCTTCGCACCAATTTTTTAATTTATTGATTGCAACTTGAAGTTTGATACAGTCATTGGTGTTAGCGATTGAAGTTGTCAATTTCAAATCGTCAGCAAACAGAGAGATAAAAATGTCGTCATCCTTAATGGAATTAACAATGTCGTTGATGAAAAGCAGAAATAGGGTGGGACCCAAGTGACTTCCCTGAGGAACTCCTGAGTTAACGACAAACTCACTTGACTCCATTTGCCCATATTTCACGAATTGACGACGATTTGACAATTACGATTCGATCCATTCGATTAAGTTGGGAGGCAGATCAAAATTTTGTAGCTTTGGAATCAGAATCGAATGATCAACAATGTCGAATTTTTTCAAGCGCAAGCAAATAGTCGGACTCATCGTTTGTTGACTTCAATCTTTTCCACTCCTTTTTCTTTTTATTTTTGAGAGACTGGAGTTGCTTGTTGTTCCATGGACATTTCGATGTAATCTTTTTCGTTCGAATAGGTACGTACTTTTCGATCGCCTCGTTAATAATTTAATGCAAAATGTCGACTTTATGGTCAAGAGGCTTATTTGAAAAATCGATTTCGGCAAAGTACCTTAAGCCAATTATTTTTCTATAATTTATTTGTTCATCTCGGATCATACTCATCGGAGTCCAAAGATAAACTCAAAATGTACTTAAACACGTAATACACTTGGACTTTGTTGTATTCTTTCTTCTCAATATTATTGCGATCGATCGATTTCGTTATGAAATATTTATTACAGATGAGTTCTCACAGTATTGAACATTTGAGTTTTAACTGTTGTTGAAGCGGTCCTTCATAAATAATGGATTTTATGCAATAGCAATATAGACACGTGTCGAGGTTATTATTTTTTGTTCCATCAACATTTTCTACCATCTGACAGATTGAAAATCGTTCGATTTCATTCCCAGATAATTACTTTTCCGCACACACTGAGTGTGTAAGGGGAAAGAATTGCAATGGGTCAAAATTTACGACACCTCAAAAACATGTTTTCTGGACGTTTCTGAGTTTAGAGAACCCGAATCAGGCCGAATTGAATTTTTGTATGGGAGCCATGCCTGTATGCTACTGTAATGACCTGAAACTTTGCACAGACTATTTTTTCCACAAAAAATAACATTCTGAAAGTTTGAAGAGATTTCAATCAAAATTAGGAGTACCCCCCATACAAAATTTTCAATTTTTGGCTCAAAAAAGAATATTTTGTATGGGAGGTACTCTTAATTTTTGGTTGAAATTTCTCCAAACCCTCCGAATGTTATTTTTTTGTGAAAAAAATAACCTGTGCAAAGTTTGACGTCCTTACGATACCATACAGGCATAATATCCATACAAAAATCCAAATTTTTTGTGACTTTTGTATGAAAAGTGTTTCAAAAATAATTTTTATGGTAAAATTAACATCAGACTTTATAGTGTTTTGTTAGGAAATAGAATACTTTCAAATGTCGTACAAATGGGATCATCATGAAAGTGTGAAAAATCAGAGTATCATGATTTGCTGCTGCTCAGCATATAGCTGAGAGCTGAGAAATGCTGAACTCGTGCGTCTAACGCATACGAAACGGATGCACGACACATATTCCCCTTTCGCTTCGTATGTGCTGCCGTTGACGCTATTGCCGGTACAACGGTAACACACTATATCAGCGAACATACGAAGTGAAAGGGGAATATGTATCGTGCATCCGTTTCGAATGCGTTAGACTAACAGTTTCAGAATATATGAAAGACTGAGAGCAAAAACAGCACGTCGCATCTCATCTCTTGCTTTCACTTACGTAAGCAAAATAACGAGGGATGCGACGTGATGTTTTTCTCGCAGCTTCTCATATGTCGGTCGCAACACAATTTCAAACTCAACTGGTTACTAAGTTTTGAGTTTTGAATTGAACGTCCAATCAACTGTTTATAACCGTTATGCGTTAGCCGCACGAGTTCAGCATTTCTCAGTTTTCAGCTATATGCTGAGCAGCAGCAAATCATGATACTCTGAAAATCTTTTGCGATTACTTCTGCTGGTAGTAAATTAAAGAATATTTCGATGCCGAACACATTTTTTGGTCTCGAACTTTACGCCGCTTGAAAGGCTTGAAAAATCGAACAAGTATTATTGTGAACTAGCTTAATAAAATACGCAACTACCACCGTGCGAAAAAGTTCGTCTTACTCCCGTAAGACTCTTTATTTTTTTTTAATTACACGTATTGTGGAAAATAATTTCAAAGTCACCACGTGTCGCTGTTACAATAAAACCTTGATGATTGCCAAGAACGTGTTTCCATAGCATATGTTTCCAAAAAAATATTATAAACTCAAAACGAAGTACCACATGGAAACGAACCCATGCTCAAAAAGCCGCGATTAGGGTTATCTGACCTCGAAAATGTCTAGAAACATGTTTTAAGGTTGTCCTAAATTGTTGGATCCATTGCAACACTTTCCCCATGCATTAGGCGGAGCATCCGATACAGCAGCCAATAGATTAGCCCACAAAAATTATACGGTATCGAGATGCCCCAATTTTGCTAGATTTTGTATTTTGGTAAGAAACTAAGATTCAGAAGTTTTCACGGTGATTCCTAGGTACTTTCAATGTGAATTGTTCAGTGGCCTTGACACGTACGTGTGTGAATTGTTGCTGCTAAAAATTGATTTTAAATGTTCCACCCAAGTTCGAATTTGAAGGTTTGTTTCAACAGTAATTAAAATTCAAATGTTCAGTACTATTAGAACTCACCTATAATAAATATTTTATAATGAAATCGATCGATTACCAAACAAATTCTTTGAAAAAGGCCATGTTTTCGCTGTGAATTGTTCAGTTGAAATCCGACCGTCATTCATTGCAGTAAATCAGACTGAAAATGGTGTTTAATAAAAAATTCAATATCCCAACAACATGGGAATTGATTCGGTCCATACCAACAATTCGACACGACTGGAGTCTGAAGACTCCGTACAAAAAGTTTTGCTATTTTTATGGTGTTGGTAGAGTGATTGGAAATTATTTACAAATGCCCATTTTTAAAGATGACCAAACATTGTGCTTGTGGTCATACTTTGCATTTGTTTATATTGTTGCTTATTTCTGGTTTGCAATGTACACCATCTATTATTATTGCATGCGTTTCGAGTTTAACAAAGGATTTCCGTGTACATGCTTGCTTGGACCCCTGCTTGCAGTTAGTTTTAAATGAATTTAATTTTATAATTCACATAAATAAAAATATTGCATTTCCTTCAGACATTTCCGTTTTTATGCATAGCAGTATCAAAAACTCGGTATACCATACATCGTGGTCTTGATTTTGGAGGTCGGTACATTTATCCAGACAAAAATGAAGATAAAAAATACAACGAAATCTGTTCAAACCATTTGGATAATATGGTGAAAAGTTATTTAACTCGCATGGCAATTATGACACTCTGTTTTTGTACCCTTGAAATTGGGCCAATTTATAAATACATTACTGATGGCATCAAAACAACAGTAACACAAGTGCGAATTCCATTCACTGAAGAAGTTTCGAATGATGAATTCATAGGAAATACTATTCTTCAAACCGTTATTGCTTTTCATGGATTTCCTGCCTACATATGCTTGGAAATTGCGTTGGAGATTTTCATGGGCTTTATTACCATATCACCATTATTGATAGAACATGAATTTCGGAAGCTTGGAGATAACATTAAGAAACAGAAATACAACAAGGCACAAGTGTATCGGACATTTAATCATATCATCAAATTATCTATGGACACCGATGAGTGTGTTCAATTAACTACTATTCATCAGCTAGAAAACAATTAACACAAATAAATTATCCAAATTTTTCTAGCTTCACGTCAACTTCGGCAAATCTTATGTATTGGCGAGCTTTTGCTACCCCACTAGCATTCACCTATGGAATTGGAATGTCAATATTTTGTCAATATATGGTAAATATAAACTTTTATCACATTTTTAGTTATGAATATATCGTACTCCTTCCTTTTCAGTTAAATTATATTGGCGGATATGGATTGGCCCTTATTTCTTATGTACAACTCTATTTTATTTGTATTTATGGTGAAATTTTTGAGGTAATTTTCATCAATCGCTTCTGAATAGCGGACCTTGTAGGGGAAATGGGCTTATATTTTCGAACAATGTTGACGTTACTCCCCCTTGGAATGCTAGTTCAGATTCTAAATCATCGAAGCTATGGTTTTGATAACATCATTCGAAAATATCAATTGAAATATTGTCTTTTTGCATTTCGCAGGATAATGGTACCGGTGACGTTTTTTATAACGTCAAATGGTATACGTTCCCCGTTGAACTTCAAAGAGACTTCATGCTTGTGATTCATAAAAAACAGCACGGAATCGGTCTTTCAATTGGACCATTTGCAAAAATTAATATGGAGTGCTTAGCAGTTGTATGTAGAAACTATTCCAACCACTTGAATTCAATTAATTAATTCTTTTGTGTTTAGATTTCACACACAATCTATAAACTGGTGATGTTTCTAATCAACTTTTGTCAATAAAAAGTGCTCCGTGAAAAGTATAATTCAAACGTGAAGATTCAATCAGTAGCTACACTTGATTTCTGCTGTGACTCAAAAAAAAATTCAGAATTTTTCGTGATTGAAATGAGTATTTATTTGTGAGCCCGTTCACCTACCATCACTAACAATGGCAAATAATGTCAAAAACTGCATGATGGCGCCATCTCTATGTGCTCATGAAAATTAGAACAAAAAGTTTGTGTAGAATGTTAATTGTTTGAAGTTTGAATACGGAATCATTTGTTGTGACGACTGTCATTTTACGCTCGATAAAGATATACCGTGTAAATTGAACAAAAACCGATTTATTATTTGTATTTAGTGAATTTGTGATGGAAAATAAATTGAAATTACTTTGCACAGTTTGTGTCATCGAAATTAACTGCGAGGACGTTACATATCACAAGGCTGGTATGGCCAAATCACTTAATTTCATAGTAATATCGTATATGAAGACAAAATTGTTACCTACACTTAATGTACACTTTTTTAAGATCATAAAACATTACATAAAATTTTGGATTTAGAAAATAGCTACCCCGGGCAAAATTATGAAGACCCCAAGAAAAACAAGTCGATTTTTTGAAAAAAAAAATTCAGGTACACTTCGAAACAAAATGTTGTACACTTACCTACACTTCCTCTACACTTAATTGAAACAATAAATTTTGAAAAAAAATTATGTAGCAAAATTATGACTACACAGTCCTGATATTAAATAATAAACGTTTTCCATCGCACGCATTTAATCTATTAATAATTCCACAAGTAAGTTACTTGAAGTAACTGATACTCGTAAATATCATTTGTAAAATTTGATGAACAGTTGTTGTTTTTGTTGACATAAATTATCTATTCTTGACTTCCCATATAAACTAAAGAAACTCTTGCTCAGCGCTCAAAATAGTTTTGAATTTTCTGAAAGAAAGATGTTTTTCGCAAAATCTTCATCGCTTTTAATTTGCTTCACCTTGTTTTTAATTCAACCAAGTGATCAAGCGAACATTTTATCAAATTTTGGTGGCTCATTGAAAAATATATTTGGCAAAGTCACCCAGAGAATAGGAAATGTTTTTGGCGCTGTAACGAGTACATTCCAAAGTCCCATGACTAAGGCAATGCGTACCGCAAAGACGGTAAACTATTTGTAAATTGAAGTGTGGAAAAAGTGATCGGAATTTTTTTGAATTTTGCTTACAGAATGAGTTCATCGAATACTATGGATATCTCGCCGAAGTACATAATGTTGTCACTGAAGACGGTTATATATTAACTATTTTTCGATGCAATTCAAAACGCCAAACGTTCGGCGAAAAGAAAGTGGTTGTACTCCAACATGGTTTTACACCGTCATCAGATGACTTTGTCATGGCCAGACAATCGCTAGCTTATGTTCTGGCGGACGCAGGATACGATGTTTGGTTGCCGAATTCACGCGGAAACTTTTATTCAAGAAAGCATACCACTCTGAGTACCAAACAATCGGAATTTTGGGATTTTTCATACTACGAAGTCGGAGTCTACGATTATCCTGCCATTTTAAATTACATCATGAATGCGACGAAAAGGTCCAGTGTATACGTTGCTGCCCACTCAATGGGCACAACTGCAATGATGATTCTTTTGTCCGAAAGACCCGAATATAATAATTTCATACGCGCTGCAAGTTTTTTGGCACCGGTCGGGTATTTTAAGCACCCGGACCCAGTTCTACATGCCTTATCAAGGTTTCGTGCTGTTGTAGAGGTAAAGGAATTTTTACACACCTGGGAAAGGGTCTTTTTTCATATATATATTTTATATCTAAATCTGGATTTTTACATAATTTCAGCCATTCAAGCATAAGGAACTCTATCCAAGGCGTGTTTCTCGAAGCACGACGTGGTTTTGTGATATGGGCTTGGAAAATGTTTGCAACGACATTCTTGACATTGTCACGGGACAAAGTGAACATCAAAGAGATAAAGTAAGCTATCAAAAAATGCATCAAATCGCTCAAGTAACGAGAATTTCTTTTAAATTGATTGTTTTTACAGAAAATGGTACCAACATTTGTAGCACACACCCCAAGTGGAACTTCAGTTAAAATATTATTGCATTATGCTCAAGCAATTCGATACGGAAATTTTGGAAAATTTATGGTCGATTCAAGCGTAACACCGAACTTTGAATTGGGACGAATCAGAGCACCAATCATGACGATACATTCAACTACCGACAGATTTGCAACTCCGCAAGATGTTGATTACATAATGAGCATGATCAATAATAGCATGAAATATGTTCATTTAATAAATGACACGGAATTTAATCACATCGATTTTTTGTGGGGCATTGATGCTCCACAACTTGTTTATTCGAAAATTTTGCAATTTTTTGAATTGTACTAATTAAGTTGAATTGTGAATTTGATTTAAACAATAAATTGGAAATGCATTAATATTATTGTTGTAGTAACAGTTATTTATTGTAACTCATGAGTGAATTTATTTGTTCATTAAAATGTGGTACTAACACGTGTTCATTCAAAAACATTTGTTTTGTAGCCCGAACGATAATTTTGTTTCTTGTTTTTTTAACATCGCACAGCATCAGACCAAATGTTTTTGAATCAACTTATATTCACAAGTTACATTTGAGTAAATAAACAACTTGTTTTCAATTTTTGTTCCATCACACATGTAAAACATTCTTTTTTTTTAGTTTTCAAACCAAAAAAAAAAAAATTTCAAACGAAACTCAATTTAATTTTTTTTTTTTAATTATTTATGGTAAAATAATGGGGTGTCTTCGTGGATTTGTAGATTTCTTTCGATGCATTTTGAGTTTTTGTCGATAAGTGAAATAGGCGCGCATTGTCAAGTAGTAGAATAGTTCAACGAAACTCAACACGGACGCACCAAGGAATAAGCCACAAAGTCCACCCGAATTTGCTATAAAATCGGTGATTGTATTGAATTCGGTTCGTTTTGATGGAACAAATACTTCTTCCTTGAAAGATATGATAAGCCGACTGAATCTGGCGCTGCAAATTTAAAATTTCAACTCGTCATTTGATTGAATCTGGTTCCCTTTCTGGGGAGGGTGAATAGTGAGGCGGAAAATGAGGAGGATAAGAAGAGCACTGAAGAAGATTCCCCTCCTAAAGTGTGAAGAAAAATGTTTTTAACGAAAAAAAGATATTTTCAGATCCTCTTCGGTGCTCTCCTCCTCCTTATTTCCTTCCTCACCGTTCCTCCTCCTCAGAGCAACATTCCCTGCATAAACATCATTCTTACTTTTTAAGATCGTAGTTAAAACGTGACTTCAAGAATGGCGTAATTGTATCATAATCAGCTTGGCTAGTGGCGACATCATACACAATTGAATTGCAGCTCCTGTTGAATAAATAGTTATTTTCAATGTGTACATCACATCATTTCTGGCATCTATACATACGGCAGGCATTTGCATTTTTGAAAGACGCCATTTCGTAAAAAGTTATTTGAAACTTTGTTGCAGCACTCAATCTTAGCCGGACCGCAGATATTGATCTCACTCGATTCTAAAAACAAAACATATATAAGACTTCCATTGCAGTCAAATCTAGGGGGTAGACATGATTCATTTGATTCACTGTGATTCAAAAGATTCACATTGTTTAGATGACATTTGAAATGTCACTTATGTGTCATGAAAGAAGTATTTATTGATAAATTAAAATTATTTGTCTTCGAAAAAATGATTTCTTGACGTTTTTTTAAATGTATTAACTCATTTTTTTATCTTTTTCGTGTTTTTATAGTAAATTTCAAATAAAATCAACGATAATATTTAGAATTTGTTGAACGATCATGTTAATAAAACCAAAAGTGATGCTTATTTGACATTTGAATGATTCACTGTGATTCACATGATTCAAAGTTTTATAATTCGTGTCTACCCCCTAGAGTCAAATAATCAAATCGTCCATACTTATCATAGAAAGCTTCGCACAACCACACATTAAAAGCGTCGTATTGATCAAACATTCTGCCTAAAACCAATAATAATATGCATAGTTTAAATAAATGAAATCATAAATGTAGCGAAGCAATAAAAAAATGTGAACCGTTTATAAAAATCGATTGCCCCACCTATCGAAATTCAAATTTTATTTCAAGGTTTATTTTACCTCGCAGTTACGCTGAGTGTATTTACGGTAGAAACGTAGCTTTTTCTCAAGCGCAAAATAACATTGTCTGGTTTCAAGGCTGAATTTCTTTTTGTAATATAATGACGTGGTGATTAAACTTGGATTAACCCCAAGGGACACTTCTTTTCCGGGTGAAATTTGAAAAAATTGTTTGGATGTTTGCGGATCTTCATTTCTATGAGGAAACAAACAAATGTGTTAATGTGTGAATGAGAAGGTAGGAATGAATTGGTGCATTTTTACGGTGGATGAATTATAACGTTGAAGCCTTGGACCTCACCGTCGCAAAGAGGGTCCACGTATTCATTGTTAATGCGTAGCACAACTATTAAACTGAATTGCCTTCCCGTCCCAAATACACGACGCGGGTATGCTTCTTCATCACTTATCGATTCATTATAGCCATCATCTAGTCTCCAATTTGACCGAGGCTGATTGTAAGGTATGTCAAGTGAAGTGTCAGAAAATCTAAAAAAAAGAGAACAAATGGTTCCATATGCGCAAAATTTCAACTTTTAAGCGCCATTTAACTCATCCGTTAGAAGATCTTCCAGATTAAATCCATTGAACGTGAAACAAAGACCATTTTCAGTAATAAATGGAGAGAAAGTTTCATTGCATCCACTTGAATTGTTGAATACGTGGCAAACGACTAATGTTTCTGGGAGTGTCGGTGCCGAATCATAGATCATTTTGATTATGGAATCATCTGAGTAGCTATCATTGGGAAAGTAATTTAAAACATCTGTCGAAAATTTTGTTGAACATAATAAACCGGCCACTTTCATCATTTTTAATCTGAAACGTAAAGATATTTTTATCTTCTTTTTTTTTAAACAAAAAGATCGTCTTACTCATCTTCCGTAAGTGTGCGTGATTCATTACCATCCATTTTGAACATATGTCTATAGATATCGGTGTAGTTTAGCTTTTTCGTCGAAAATTTTGTCATTGGACAAATGGTTACCGCTAATTACAAGAAAATGGATTAAAATGACTTTTTAGAAAAGTATAAAAATTTCAGGCAGGAAATATGAAGCAGAAAAAAAAACCTGGAAATGGTATTTCACCAATGGATTTCGCTGCATGACTAACGGTCAACATAAATGTATCGTCAATGTGTTTCAAATATTGTAAATAAATGAAACTTATGCATAGGTATACTGAAACCAAAAATGCAACAATCCACCAAAGCCTGGAGACATTCAAAAGAGTATAAAGTGAGACATTTCATTCGTTTCTTTTTTCCAATAAAATGACTTCTTTTGCAACGATGGAGAAGACGAGAAATACGGAAGAAAGATCTGATAGTTACCGTTCAATCCAGTGGCGGTCGCGAGAGAAAAAATAGTTAACACCATGAATCGTCGATTTTTGACAGAATTGAACTAAAATGCCGTCCGTCTTGCAATAGAATTTCAATCAGATTTTGTGCAATTTAACTGGTTGAGATTCAACACTTACTTGTTCCTTTGGAGTGTTGCGTCGGTTCGAAAATTTGGTGTCCACTAGTATCGCATTCGAATGTACCTTGTTCTTTTTCTTCATTTTTTGTTTGAACAATGAAGAATCTCTTTTGATTCGCTGCATTCTTGAAAGACGAGACTGTGATAATTACCACACTCGAGTCCAAATTTTAACTGAGACGTCTATTTTTAATCCACGCTGGAGTAAGGCACCTTTATTTAAGGCGATACGGTCATTTTCACTCGAAATATGCGTATGAATTTGATGAAATCGATTTGAAACACCAAAGTGTAAAAACAAAAGGGAATAAAAGAAATAATTGAATGGAGTGGGAGATTGATATTATCAATTTTATAGAATTACCTCTGTGAATGTAAGACAGTCGCCTGTTATTAAAAATGATCAATAATCAATCAAATAATTAATTACTCATTGCGTGTGAACTGTGAAACAAGCCACCTATAATAGTAATTTTTCCATTCAATATTATCACGCATTTTGAAATGCAAACAATTTATTAATGGAGGTTCATTGGTAATTACAGTATTTTTCATATAAAATAAACCCCTCTATTTAAACGTGCCACATTGGTCGACAATGGATAAATGTTTATTTCTATCATCCTATTGATAATATCAATATGGTGAAAATATAACAAAGAATTCACTTAACAACATTAAATAGGTTACAAATACATATAATTTGAATGAATTTAACAAACAATTTGGATGAAACGGTTAAGCTATCGTGAAATAAAATCAAATCATCGTCTCGCCTCGTCTACTCCCTCTGACCCTAAAAAAATCAGGCAAATCACGCCTGAACCTTTAAAACATTGATTGTAAGATTTTGATTTGGTTGTCTTATTTTACTTATCTAAACCTCAATAAATCATTCTGTCATTCATGGTGAAATGTAAAAATTTTTGACTGTTGTTTCGGCTCAACGGTTTGAATTTTGAGTTTTTGTCGATAAGTGAAATAGGCGCGCATTGTCAAGTAATAGAATAGTTCAACGAAACTCAACACGGACGCACCAAGGAATAAGCCACACAGTCCACCCGAACTTGCTATAAAATTGGTGATTGTATTGAATTCGGTTCGTTTCGATGGAACAAATACTTCTTCCTTGAATGATATGACCAGTTGAGTGAATGTAGCGCTGTAAATTTAAGTCAAATTTAAACATGTTGATCTTCGGTGTTTGTGTCCACAAAATTCTTACTTTTTTAAGTCGAGTTTGAACAAAGACTTTGAAAATGGTGTCACTGGATCGAAATCAGCTTGATTAGTGTCGACGTCATAAGACAGGCTTGTACAGCTTCTGTTGAATAAATAGTAACTTTCAATGTACAAATTTCATATATCATTTCTGACATGTATACATACGGCAAGCATTTACATTTTTGGAATATTCCATTGCTATAAATGTTATTCGAGGCTTTGTTGCAACAATCCATTTTCGCAGGGCCACAAATCATCGTGTACTTTGATCCTAAAAAAACAATCATATACATTCAAAATGCATTGGTGAATGTCAAGGAACGATCCTTGGATACTGCACACCGTGGGTGTGCGGAAAAGTAATGAAAGGAACCGTTTCATTGTATACTGAAAATATGACAATGGTGAACGACATACTCGTTTGCGCAAATCTCGCACATCCGCAAGAAGCTATCGTGAAATTGGCCAAGCATTCCGACTCGCTGCAATTATGTTTCATAAGAGACTGTATAAAATGAAAAACTGTGGCACAGCTAGCGCTACTACAGACAACTATGGAGTTCTGGTCAGTTATTTGTAACTGAGCAAAAGTATTTTCACTAGTTGGCGGCAACTTATTATAGATTACATTGAATTCCGTCGTTGCGCTAGCTGTGTGACACTTTGGGCATAATTTGCAATTTTTTTTACCAATTACGTTGCGTGTACTGGCTGAAAAATCGCAGTTTTCGTTCGGAATTGAAGAAACATTGTCGAACTGAAGAACTATATTTAGCTCTATCAAACCCTGTGACTGTTAACGCTGGTCGAACTGAGAATGATGCCTGCTTTGATGGTGACACGTGGAACGTCCGTTTCGACATTTGCGGATCTTCATTTCTATCTCAAAAAAATTACACAAAAAAAAACCAATCAATTCAATTCTTTAATGTTTATGTGCGAGTTTTTACGGTGAATGAAATAGGACTTTGAATCCTTGAGTAGAACCGCCTAAAACAAAATA